ATAATGATGTGTTTTATTTAATGGTATATTCAATTTTTGTAAGGATTTGTCACTTTATGATAAATATTGAATACAGGTGAGTTCTTTTCTTTTCTTAATAGATATTATGCAGTATTCTACCCGCTCTCAGCTAAGATCAAAAGCGAAGGCAGAACCAAGAAGATAATAGCGGCAGCCTGGATCACAGCTCTGATTATCTGTATCCCCTTCCTCTATTCAACTTCATACCCCTTTACCATTACCAGTGATTTGGGAAGTGTATCCTTGATAATATGTACAGATAACTTCGACGCATTAGATGGAGGTACGGGTAGTGTAAGGAGAGTGTTCTTCATCCTGCTGTTTCTAATCATGTATTTTATCCCTATGTTAGTTATTATTGTAACATGTAGTAAACTGGCCATCAGAATCGTTCAGCCATTTAATGTGGATTTTCCTAATCTGACGAGGAGTATAAGAAGACGGCGGGAAAATAACAAATGAAAGGTAAATACGCGCGTACTTTGTAATATTATAAACATTACTGATAACTGAACTATACCAACTACTTCGGGTATTTTTTTTACTTATGAAATATCATGTATAAAGAATTCTCATTTATTAGTAATATTTCAAAGCACTATTACTAATGAATTTAATATTTTGATATGCCTTCTTTACAGGTGGCTCAGATGGTTATTGTGATAGCTGTTGCGTTCATCCTCGCCTGGTCTCCACACTATATCGTGTCTATTGTAAGCGTGCTGCAACAGTCGTTTTATAAGACAAGCTTTTTTGACCAGGAAAACTACGTGTTTACCATGCTAATGACGTACTTTTTCGGATTAACAAATAGCTGCATGAATCCGATCATTTACAACGCCATGAGCACTGCTTTCAAGAAGCGGTTTAAGGCGACCCTTCAGCGCCTATTTTGTGGGTCATTCTTAAAATTTAAAAGAAAATATCTTATGTAATAAAATTTCTTATTTTGTAAATGTATTCATGGACTAATTTGAAATCTATTTTGCAGATTTTACATATGTTTAATTATAAAGGCAAATTTTAAACCAAATGAAAGATATTTAGATCGATAGATATTTTTTTAGTAGATGTAGATGTTTTTCTATGACAACAGCAACTTAATTTGAAAACAATTTATATTATCTTTACCAGATCTGACAAGGATTAGAACGTTTTATCATTGTTTAAAATCAACTCAAAAATTTCATTAATGTAAACCCGATTCATTTTGTACCGAGGATCAACAGTAGAGCATGCGCAGTAGGTAGTGATTATTCGGCATTAAAAGTATTGGGCGTGGTATATGTCTACATGATTTTTCTCAATTAAGGTTTCATTTAGAATCATCTGGGTTTTTTTTTATCATTTGCTGGAGAGAATACTTGTATTGTATCTTGCTTTTCAACTCCCACAACACTTTGATAAGGTTTTATATCAACAAAAGATTTATAAAATCGTAATTTCTTGGGATTAGATATATCACGCGGATCTTTAAACACAGAGTCAAATCACTAGCTGCAGTGCATATAATCCATTGATCAAGAACCAAACCCCTGAGGGTTTCCATCTGAATTTTAGGTTATGTTAATTCTTATCAATCTTACATTACAAGGCCTCCTGTATATGGATCAATGTGTATTTCATTCAGAGAATCCTGTAATTTTAAACCTTCTTTGCAAACTTTTTTCTTCCATGTCATGAAAAGCGAATTTAATCTAAATCCTATTTTGCAGAGTTTGTACATTAGATCTTTGATGTTTTAGAAATACATTTAAGAATCGTATAAAAAAACGAAAAGGCAAAATTAGAACCATCTATTCTTCCGTCTCACTAAACCGGAGGAGATAAAAGAGTCAGAGAGACTACATAAAAAATTAGTAATAATTCCAGCAAATAAGGTTGGTAACAATATCATCTATGTTTGTAAGGCTCATTATTATAACTATTTTGGAGCAACCTGGTTTCAATTTTTGTCTTGAAGTCCTTCATAAAGTCTCTCTTCACTTTTCAAGAAATCACAGTGCGCTTCATACTTTAAACATTCCTTTCAGACAAGGTGGGTTCGATCTATCCTTCCTTTACTTTAATTCACTTCATAAAGATTCGTACAATAACAGACATTGGTGGGTTCAGCTAATGCTCTACCATGCCTCTATCTTTTCTCCTTACCAAAATATTATCTGCTGTAATGAAACATATGGAGATAACGAACAGTATTCAAAATCAAAAGTTTATAAAACAATACAAAATGGGAGCAGAGCAAACACGGACCTCCAAAACATCAGAAGTGGGATTAGGTGCCATGGAGGAGTCAACATCCACTGCCGACCGGTCACATCCGCCGTATGCTCCTTGTCATGATCGGGAAATAACGGGAAAATCCGTCGCCAATTCAGTGTATAAATAATGGACTAATAATAAGAATGAAAAACATCAGTAAGCATTTGACTCAATGATAAATTGTATTTGCTGACAAGGTCATTGTATCGACCATAGAACTTTAAACGAGACTGCTGATGTTCTTGTTTCATCAAGTTGTTTGTCAATAATTTACCATTCATTTATCATTTTAGAAATTGTTCATAGGGAGAGCATGCTCTTGCGTATCGAATGAACTGAGATATATAAACTCCGTATGCTGGTGAAGGTATTTTGCTGCATAAGTAAGGGAAATTGTCGATTGTTAAGTTAAAGCCATCACCTTTATCATAGAGCTTGGTTATTAGATTACCATTTACGTCTTTTTCAAGTAAAATATCCAAATATGAAACAGATGTTTCAGACTCTGTGGTATCTTTCATCTCAAGCTCAGCAGGATATATCGTATCGACATAAGAATGGAAATTACCATTTTAAACTGACAATACGTCGTCGATATATCTAAATGTCGATTTGAAGGCCACAGCAAGTGTTTTCTTCTTTTCATACATAAGATTTTACACAAATTCTGCGTCATATGAATACAAAAATGGGCCTTCTAATAATGGGGCGCAATTTTTACCCTGAATTCTAGTAGATTGTTGGAAGACTTGGTCCCCAAAAATAACATAGATATTGTCAATCAGAAACTCAAGCATCTTTTTAATAAAAACTTCAGAGAACTTTTGTGTATAACAAGAATGTTTTAACAAAATAATTTTTCAAATGACCAACGACAAGGTAAGTTTATTTACGAGTTCAATTTTTATTGAAAAAACAACTGTCAATGATATCGAAAATCTTGGACTTGAATTTATCGTGTGGAATGGTTGTTTATAAATAAGTTTTAATATCAATTCTCTGTAATAATCAAACAATATCAATAATGCTTGGCCACGCTACATTTTCAATTTCTATGAAACTTTTTGTGTGTACTCACATTGTCACATCATTAATGGTTTTATATTTTTTTATTTCAAAAAATGTCTCGTTGCCATGGTAACGGCACCTATTGTTTCCCCTGTAAATTCTTCCTAAAATTTGACCAAAAAACGTGATTTTGTAGGTTTTACTGAATAAAAATGAGCTTAAAAGAAACAAGAGAATGGGAAAATCTACTTTTGTTTCAAAACTACCATTATATCTCTCTAATATAACAACATAATTTTTTAAAAACTGTAATTCTACATAATGGCTTAACAACGCTAAGCTTTGGGGATTTTGGCATTTTGCCAAATTGAGAAAATTACCATTTTAGACCCTTTTTCAAATCGATTTTTTAATACTTTGCACACTGATTTGATATTTAGGAAACAGTGCATTGTATAGATTGTACATAAGTTAGTTTAAACACATTAAAATATTTATGGGACACTTAAACATTTTTTTTAAAAAAGCTGATGAAAAATTACCCCAAATCTGCAAAATTTCCATATTTTAAGGAACATATGCACATTTCATTAAGTTCATATAGAAAAGAAATGTTCCTTTCTACCTCTTTTGATGTCATTTACAGTAAAATTAGTCCATATCTAGGAAAAGTGTCATGTAAAAATATTCACATCCCATTTCCAAGAGCATTAATACATGTAAATATGTTCTTAGATAAGAGAACTGTGAACACCTGCACAAAATGCCCCCCCCCCCCCTTTCCGTAAAATTGACAATTTTGAAGTACATGAGACTAACCAGAGCATGTTTCAAGTTTCCTGAAACTATCCCCTTAGATTGAAACTAATATGAAATAAAATTTTCCCTATCCATTCTCTATTACTATGGAAACAGGAATGCAAGATTTGTTACCATGGAGACAGGAATACCAGATTTTTAACCAAAATGGTTGCGTTTAACGTAACAATATTCCCAAAACTACACTTATTTACTCTTTTATAAAACCTGTGTAATGAGTTAAATGTGAATGTGAACTGAATTTTTTGGCATCTTAAATTTGCATCTTTATGATGCTGCAAAAATATAATGCATTTTGAAATGCTATGTCAAATAATTGCAAAACCTTGTGGCTTTTACTTTTTCAAGATTTGGTCAAACTTGAAAAATTCTGAAATGAAACTAAAACAAGCAGGACATTCATAATATTTTACTCATTTCAACTTGTTACTTTGTATAATTATTTTATTAAATTCATGGGCAACTGCAAACCACAGATACTTTGAATGAAGTCAAAAATTTACCCCCCTCCCCCCCCCTTCTGATTTTTTCTTTTAAAACTTATGAAACACGGCTTTAAACTTGAGAAAAATTACATTGGTTTAAAAAGAAATCACATCCTCTTGGGTAAGTTATCTTGGATTTAAACATAAATATCCAACATTGGAAAACTTTAAACATAGTGTTCATATAATTAATAATTAGGTTTGCAATGGATCTTTTGTATTCTGTAAAGTCAGTTGAAAGAATGCCCCCCCCCCCCCCCCACGAGACACTGTCCGCCACAAGTATCATTTTAAGGAAGTTCTTCCTTTCATTTTACAAGGTTCCTGCCAACATCTCATCACACCAACTATATCAATCTCCTTTTCTTTTTTTTTCACATGTAAATATAAATTCTGAAAACAAGAGAACTTTTCGCTTTTTTTATTTTTTATATATGCAACATTTAGAGTACATGTATTCTCAACTACGGTACATATCATTAGATTTACGTGACAAATTCTACTGTTTCTGCTGCTCTGAAAATCTTGTCTCTGATTTTTCAATTTTAGAGTTTTTGTGTGTCAGGCATGTACCAGTAATGACCTACATTGACATACGCAAGAAACACTGATAATTAGTTAATGAGAATTATGCTGAGTTGAGTTTTTTTGGCAAGGTACAGGATAAAGCTTGATAAGTTCTAAAACATATTGTTATACAGCATAAGATTTGAGGATGCCATCACATAATATGATAAACATGTTCCTATTATATTTGAACTTTGACATCTCAAACACTGATATCTTGAAGACAGTGGGTACAAGTATGTTGAAGTAGGTTGGAATTCAGCTTTCACTTGCCTGGTTTCAAACCTAAAATATGGCATCCCTTCTCAACCTGCAATGGTAAATAATTCCTGCACTTTCCAATATACACTGATTTCAAGCTAATTAAATGTGTATGTAATCCTTAAGAAAGTTGTTTTCTTTATTCTAGTATAATAATTCTTCTGTTACTGGACAGGTATTAAATTTTGTTTAAAAAAAAGAAATAAACAAGGTTTAAATTTAGATATAAAATTGAAATATTTTTTAACAATTTAAAGACAGATGATACAAACAAACTTTTGTCAAAGAATTTGAAAATAACAACTGGGGTCATGTTTAAATCAGTAAAAATTAATAACTTTCTTCAAGTACTTTTTAATTTTTAATTCATATTTGCATAAAAATGGAATTTGAAGTGAAAAATACTTGTATCGATTAATAAGGATAGTTTCAAGAAGGCAGACTTTTGAACATCACAGAAGGTTTACAATTTCTTAATATTCTAGAAATTTATTAATAGCATCATTAATTTGCAATTAAATTATGCCAAAAAATATATACCAATCCAGGCATCCATTTTTTGTTTGTATCATCTGTCCTTAATTTACTTTCATATTTTAAGAATGGTTACCTTGAAAAGAACAAAATCTAGGCTGTCCACTTTCTTGCAGAATGCACTTGAACTTCAGTCATGGCCTATTTGGTCCTGTTTTGGTTTACTGGTCTTACTTTTTCTTTATTCATCTTATATGGTAAATCCTTTGATGAAAAAATGATGAAAATAATTATTTTCTTAGGAACATGATCAAAAGGAAAATTCATTTCATTCATACACAGACATGTTCATGTGTGTGATCATCTTACCAGTAGTGAACATTTGCCTGAGTATCAAATAATTTGTTTAGAATATTATAAAACATGGTCAGTGTGTATAAAACAAATATCATTATAAATCAGAGGTGAATATTCTACATGTACATGTATATAGTTTTATTATACCCTCCGCTTGAAAAGTGGTAGGAAATACTGTAATCGGTATGTCCGTCTAGCTGTACTTCCATCTGTCTGTACGTCCGTCTGTCTGTTACGCTTTAGGGTACCCATCTCTTACTATCCGCAACTCCTCTTATACCACTGCAATGAGTGAAATTTAATGAACCTTTCACAGAATCTTTATTACATATTGCCATTGTGCACCTCCTATTTTACTTTTTGATTTGACACATATTTTGGGTTTCCCGGCCACAGTAAAACATGGATTTGTCATCGGTTATAACCATATGGGAGGCAGGGGGTATCATTTAGTGAGCTCATTGCTCACAGTACCTCTAGTTAAATTTTGTTTTAACACTAATACATATGTACAAGTGTACATATATATTTTTTACTGTTTGCTATTTGAAAAGATTATTATTATTCACATAAAATTGAACTATAGATTATACAGTACCGTACTGGTACTTCACAGACGAATGAAAGAGTCTATATAAACAAAAATAACTCAATATTTCCAGTGCATTCTTAACCTAGATCTATTTTGTCAATACATATAGTACAGTTTAGGATATATATAATAAATTTAAAGTTTAAAAGAAAGATTGATTGAATATTGTTTAACGCCAAGTCGGCAATCTCTCAGCCATGTTTTGGCGGACCATTAGTTTAAATCAGTTTTTGAAATTTTTTGGTTTCTCTGGCGGCCCCCATTGAGCCTACTCTTTTTCGAACTCCAGTGAAACGATCTTTTACGTGCCAAGGGGGTTTTAAAAGATAGAAGCTATTAAATAAAACAATGACATCAAAACAAACATGCTGTTTTCCTATTTTCTGCTCATGAACCATGACCATATTTTGCTGATATATAGAATACTATTTAAAAAACTTAGCTACTTTATGCTTGTGCTCACACATTATAAACGTTTGATGCACTTTTTTTTATAGAAACAAACTTGCTGTAGTTAAATATTTTAACAACACAATTCTGTAAAATATGTGCCTAATGCCAATAAAGAGTTGAAATAATAGGATAAACAATGAATGAAAACTGACAGAAGTGGAAATTTATATTATAAAGATAAATAATGTTCACTTAAAAGTCTCTCTCAGCACATCATAAAAAGTAAACCTACTGAATGGCACAGATTTTATACAATCTCTACATAGACATTTATATTTCGGGGGGGGGGGGGGGGGGGGGAGGGACGAGTTCAGCTGTATCAGCGAGCGATGTTTATATGCTTCAAATTCATTTTTATTAATAAAAATAATTAATTCATTGGTCAGAAAGTCAAACTGTCAAAAGGTATAGTTCGATTGATTTGATAAGGACCACTGACCACTACCGGTAAAACAACTGTGTATTGTAAGGCAAATAAAATTAAGAAAATATGCATTTGTTAACCTTGATATTTTTGTAATGCTCAGTATATACATAAATTTACCTTCTGTCTTCATTGTTTAAGATGTCTAGACTTTTTTCTTCTTCCAGACTGTAAAACTTTGATGAGATCTTTCGCCAGAAAATGTTCATTGCTGTTTACTAAATACACATTGTACCTCCAAACGTTAGAGAGTAGTTCAAGGGAAGTAATTAGGAAGCAAAAAATGCTTCAAAATGTAGAAAAAAGTAATCTTTACCTTTGAATTCCTTTTACATCTTTGAGTCTCCCACCAATATTTTACATATTTTGATATAATCAAACATCAGCCTTTCATAATTAATTATTACTAAATTTTTAATCAGTGTGCCTTTTTTGTTTTAAGCCTCCAAAAACTCCACTAAACCAATCACATATCTGATATGTTATAGTATGTAAAATGGCCATTTACTATTGAGAGATTAAATTAAAACTACAGATATAATTACTTTAATCTGTAGGATTAAATTTAAATAATGAAAACATTTTAAGTTATCCCTTTTCATTTCTGGACACAGTTTTTCTTGATAAATACACGTTTTTCAAAATTAACGAAATTGAGAATTTTGCACCCCGTTTCTATGGCAACCAAGGGTCTATTTCATAAACCCACTTTAGATTTTCCAATTAATGACACAGCTGTTTAAAATTATTATAAAAAAATCAAAATGTTTTTCTATGCGTGGCCAACCAATTTTGATAATTACAGAGAATTGATATTAAGCTGTTGATTTTGATAAAATCTTGTGATTTCAAATTGTATAAAAGTTCCATGGAAATGTCAAGTACCCACATCTGATTTACACCACTTCTTGAATATATTGTAGCACAGTACTGTTGAAGTTTCTCCTTCACTGCTGTTGATATCTTAGTGAGGAGTAAAGAAAGAGGCTTGGTTGAACATTTACTGGAACCCGCTATGTATCTTTGTTTGTAAGGATCCTATATGAAGTTTCGGAATCCAATATACATGTATATATATATATATATATATATATATATATATATATATATATATATATATATATATATATATACAGGGGCGTCGGCAAGTATTTGACATTGGGGAGGCGAACTAGATTGAAAAGGGGGGGTTAACTGACGTGTTTTTACTTAAGGGGGGACCTATGTCGTTCTACGTCAAAACAGCGTTATGTGACGTCACAATAGCGGCGTTTGTTTTTACCTGTTGACTTTTGCAACTGTGAAATAGACATAACATTGTTGATAATCAATTATGCACACAATTTACAAAAAGGAAAATTTATTCATCATTAATCACAGCTTCACTTGATTTAAGGAGTTTGTTAATATTAGAATTCTCTTCCTTTGGTTGATAATTCAAAGCAATTTCTGTTGTGAAAAAGTACCTCGATAATATGCTGATATGATGGTGCAAAAAAGAGACAAGATTCAGCAAAGAAAGTGGCTTAAATCAGGGAAATATGTTTAATTCTATAATCACCATTTATCGATTTTCTGGAGAAAAAAATTAAGAAAAGTGCTTGTACAGGTGTATATTTGCTTATTGATTTACATGTATAGTACATGTGGATTTTATTGTATAAAGTCATTCCTAGGTTCTAATAGGCATTGGTTGTTGACGGGGAAATACTCATTTTCCGTAAAATACTTTTATATTTAGGTGTTTGTCAGTGCTTACTTACCCTTTTTAAGTGCAGAAAGGTCAACATTTATGACACAAGAGTACAAAAATAAAAGGAAACGTCATATTTCTCGCTTATTTTATCATAAAGGTGTACTTTTTTCTTTGTTGAAATAAAGAGATGAATCATTTCTTTCAAAAAATATGAATTACAACATTTTCACACAAAGACTTTTTAAGATATTACCTGTTATGCATGTCGGAATTGTAAAAAATACGACAAGAAAAATGGGGTAATACTTACATTGTGCTCCATTATAATTTTTCATGCGAGATGGATTTCAAGGAATTTGCCTCCATTTTGAAGATACAAGTCATATAAATTAAATAAGTGTTGATTTTGAACATGATTTGACATTTTTGTTCTTTTTAGCGCATATTTGGGGTAGAACAATAATGACTGAAAATAATCTATTTTTAGCATTTCACACTGTTTTTGCACGCGCTCCTGTGTAAAAATAAGCATATAAAGGTATTGTTTTTAATACCTAAAAATTAAGAGCAAGTCGTCAGGAAAGAAATGTCAAAGTTTTGAAAATTTCACACAAAGACTTTTCGGACATAGGTCCCCCCTTAAATTCAAATTTCTACCAGTATATTGATATATTTTCCCATTCTGTCAATGTTTCAAAGACTCCACCTGATTAAAAAAACAAAATCGTTTTATATGATTTTATTTACGTCATGTCATAAGCACATATGAGAAGCACGTAGTTGAATAAATATTATTTTGAGATGCATATAATTATACTTATCTTTAAAATAATCAATTAATAAGCACTAATAAACACTACATAAATGAAATCTGTTCAATTTTCTCTCCACGGCTTCTTTATGGCAGTCGGAATCTTGATGTTTCCGGAATTTAGAAGTGGCATCCTTCCAATTACAGAATCCCGTGGAAATAAAACTGCCGTCGGCCTTGGAGTTGGAAATCTTGCCCTCTTTTGCAGCAACCATGCAGGTGAAACAGAAAGCCAGATCTTTTGCCTGAAAATAAGAACAAATTTAATTTCAATATATTATTTTTTTTTTAAATCGTTTTTTCTCTTTTAAAGTGTAATCATTGTACATTAACCAATGATTTCAACACAATCAATATATTAAAATTTGTATCCTTTCAAAATATCATTGAAAAGATAAAAAATATATATCTTTTAATGTACTTACTTCGTCATAATGTAACCAAGCGTATTGTTTAAACAAAGTGGGGTTGAATGAACGCAGTTCTGGATTCTTCTTGCCGAAAGAACGCTTA